ATGAATGAGTGGGTGGGTGAGTGAACACATGAGTGAATGAATGAATGAGTGGGTGGGTTAGTGAGTGAACACATGAGTGAATGAATGAATGAGTGCGTGGGTGAGTGAACACACGAGTGAACGAATGAATGAGTGGGTGGGTGAGTGAGTGAACACATGACTGAATGAATGGGTGAACAGGTATCAAGAAGGGCGAAGGTGGACCAAACCCAACACTCCTTCCTAACAGAAACCACAGTGCAGATGTAGGGACAGGACCCCCGGCCCTTTGCTGGCACGAGGAAGAGCAGCGTGTTGCTTTACGATTAATAGAGGAAGGGGGTCCCGGGGGCCCACCCCCTGGCAGAACTGATAAGCACTGATCTGCAGGTTCTGTCCCTGCCGTGCGACACATGAAAAGCAGGAGTTGACAGGAAGAGACAAGGCGGGTTATCACTGGGGGTCACCTGGCCTGAGTGGGCTGTCAGGGCAGCTGTTGCAGGGGGGCCTTGGAGCCAGCTGCTCTGACGCCGAGATCTGCCCTCTCACCATCGCAGTGCAGGGCAGAAGGTGGGGGGGTGGGAGGAGCTTCGGGCCTCGCTACCCACGAGGAGGGCAGCGAGAGGCTGTGGTCTGGGGGTGGGCCCCATCCAGCAGGCAGCCCCCTCATCCTGGGCAGGAGAAGCGGGGCAGGGGACCCTCTGCCCTAAGAGAGCCTCGTGCCAACAGCTCGTCCCACTCTCCCCAGCCGAATCCTCTCAGACCTCCAAGGACATGCTGGCGTCCCACCGGTGGCAGCTGCGCAGGCCGGAGCTGCTCCCCACCGCCCTCAACCTGGTGCTATATGGGCTGCCTCACCAAGCCATCGGGTGACGATGCGGAGCCCGGCTTTCGGACCCTGCCATCTCCCCGTCCTGCCCAGGGCAGCCCTTGGCCTCCCCCTCAGCCGCGACCACTGGCCCTAGAGGGGAAGGATAGTCCTCTGGGGGTGCAGCGGGGCGGGAGGGAGGAGTGCGGCGGGGACCCAGCCTGCCCGGTGCCGGGGACGGGGGTGGGGACAGAAAGGGGACACTCAAGAGAGATGTGGATACCCCGGTCTCAATCTCTGGGAAGCCCCCAAATGCCTTTCCCTAGGGCCCCCCCCCACCCTGTGGTCACCTCAGAGGCCTGGAGTTGCTGCTGCTCTGCTTCTCAGAAAGAAAAACGGTTACGACGAGAAGTTAGCTTTTGAAGTGTTTTAATAAACAAGCAAGCAGAAGTGTCTGTGGTGGTGTCTGTTCCCACCCAGAAGACCTGGAGCCCCCATGCCAGGCTGGTGTACCCACCCCTGCCCCTTGCTAGGCACTGACCACGTCCCCCCCAACCACGTCCCCCCAACCTGGCCACCCACGGCACCGGACCAGCTCTCTGTGCCCCCTTGACTACCGTGCCCGGCAGTCCGCCTGCCCTTCCCTCAGCACATCCACCCTCCTGCAGGGCTGTCAGGCCGGGGGTGGGCAAGGGCAGTGAGGCGCCTGGGCAGCCCCAAACCCCTTTCCTGGAGGAAGTAACTGAAGAGAAAGCAGATGTGGCCTTGAGGCTGGCTCCCAGGGTCGGAGAAGACCAAGTGGGTGTGCAGGGGCAGTGGGCAGCTTCCAGCACAGCTGGGAGACAGGAAGGAGGTGAGGGGCCATCTCCAACTCTCAGAGGCCCTGGAGCACGTGCGGAAGGTCACTTCCACCAAAGCATCAGCACCTCCTGCAGTGACCACCACAGACAAGATGAGCCCCAGGAGAGGTGAGCCTCGGAGGGCCTTTCCAGGACGCCCGGCCCCAGGCCACCTTGACCCCTGGTCTGCGGACTTCCTGGTGTTACAGGTAGCCTGGCTCTGCCCCAGCTGGGGTACGGGACCCAGGACTGAACTGGCACAGGGACACATGAGTATGTCTAGGTGTGGGGGCATGGGTGGGAGGTGATCATTCTCCCAGACTCGGGGCGATTGTGCCAAGACCTCCTGGGTCAGGATGTGCGACAGCCCAGCAGACTTAAAGCACGAGACCATGACGAGCTATCCACGCGCTTACCAGACAGGCTAAATAGAAACGCATGACAACAACCAAGGCCCGGTGAGGGGGCAGCAGACGGGAACCCCCAGACTCTGCTGGGGGGCTGTGGAACGTGCAGCCCTCTGAAGACAGCTTGGCAGGTGCTTAGAAAACTCAGCCTGGAGCTCCCAACAGACCGGGAATCGCATCCCTGCACATTTGCTATTTTGAACAGAACGGCTGTGCGCCATTGTGCACGGGTTTTTCTGTTTGTGTGTGTGTGTGCTTTCGAGGAAGGTTTACAGAGCAAATTAGTTTCTCTTTAAACAATTAATACACATATCGTTTTGTGACATTGGTTGCCAATCCTGCAACGTGTCAACACTCTCCCCTTCTCGACCTTGGGGTCCCCATTTCCATTCATCCAGGTTTCCTGTTCCCTCCTGCCGTCTTGTCCTGGCCCCTGGGCTGGTGTGCCTATTTAGTCCTGTATACACGGTTAAGCTACATGTATTATTGTTTGTTTTGTGGGCCTGTCTGATCTTTGGCTCAAGGGTGACCCTCAGGAGTGACTTCAGTTCTGAGTTGGCAGGGTGTCTGGGGGCCATACCCTTAGGGTTTCTCCAGTCTCTGTCAGACCAGTAAGTCTGGTCTTTTTGTGTGAGTTAGAATTTCGTTCTACATTTTTCTCCAGCTCTGTCCGGGACCGTCAATTGTGATCCCTGTCAGAGTAGTCGGTGGTGGTAGCTGAGCACCATCTAGTTGTATGTACAGGTTTTTGTGTGAACATAAGTCTTCATTTCTCAGGGACAAAAGACCAGGGGTGCAATTCCTGGGCCGTATGGTGAACAACCCGGTGGGGTGGTTCTACTGTGTCCTGTAGGATTGCTTGACGACACCTAACATGGTGAACACGTGTTTGGTTCGAGTCTGGATTGTGGTGGTGGTGACATCAGCATGCTTGGGGTGAAACTGCACAGAGCACCTCCCCCACCCCTCCCCTCAACACACGTGGCTGCTGTGAGAGCAGTGAGCGCTGGATACAACCTCCGCTTCAGTCAACGGGATCGTACGTGGGTTGTTGTAGGGTGGTATTACTCTTGTCTTACGGGCGAGACTTCGGCTCACTTACTTCAGACACATCTTCAGGAAAGACTAATCCCTAGAAAGGACATCATGTTTGGTAAAGTTGAGGGTCAGCGAAAACGAGAGAAACCCTTAGTGTGGTGGATCGACACAGTGGCCAACATACCAACCATCGTGAAGATGGCGCAGAACTGGGCAATGTTTTGGTTGGAGCTGGCTCCCAACAACAACCCAGCTATGTGAGATGTAACCATGGGGGAAGCTGGGTGAAGGGTACACACCACTCTGTGTACCATTTTGCAACTTCCTGAAAGATTGTGATTCTCTTCCATTTTGTTTGAAGATATTTCCGTTTTCAAATATACCCTTAAGCTTACAGTTTTTTTAAAAAAAAAGAAAGAAAGAAAGGCACTAACTAATGAGCAGGAAATAAATTCCAATCAAGCAACGTTGGAAATATGAGCTTTCTTCTAGAAAGATGTTGGCACTCACCCAAACAACAAGAATAAAAGCTTCTGGAAATATTTCATCTCTGCAACAGCCCATCTTTCACCTTCCACCGTGTCCACTCGTATGAGAAATATGAAACAGTGAGTGCTATTCCGCGTATCACGGGCGTTAAAATAACTTTCTGAATTATGCTCCAGCAACATAACAAATCACATTATCAATTAGCTTCTGTAACAGAAGTGGCATTCTGTAATATATTCAAGTGCGAAAAAATTGCTCAGGTGAAATTTATGTAACCCTAAAAACTATAAGGAGAAGAAAGATCACTTGGAATTTATTGGTAATAATAGGAGACAGAATGTAATTTGGGTAGTGGGCTGCTCCCCGGGCGAGGATGACCAGCCCCCAGGTCCCTGATGCTCAGAAAGAACGGGGCGGGTCAGGGACGGGGCACGCTGGCACAGAGGGCCCCAAGTTTCCAGGAGATCCTGCATCCACATTCCCAGATGTCAGGTGACCCGTGTGTGCGGCAAGCAGGGGTCCGAGCTTCTATCCCCTCTGCCAGGAGACGTCACAGCTGAGTAAAAGTGGCTGGAGGAAGGCTTGTGGCCAGGATCTGGGTTGGTTCTGGTCCAGCCTTGGGACGAGCTCTGTGACCCGTGGCTGGTCACTCAAGGGTACGGTGTCCCGGGGCCTGGCCCCCCGGCTGGGGTGACTGATGTAAGGAGGACAGGCAGGGTCTGCACCCCATCCTGAGCCACTCACACTCACAGACATTGGGGTGGCGCCTTCCTGTCCCCACTCTGCGCCTGGCCCTGTCCACCTTAGGAACAATCAACATTTTAAAATGTTGGTTTACTTCGTTTATGTCTTGAAAATAGTGATTTCGACATTTAAAAAATTCGAGGTTGGCCAGGGACTCTGGTGACGGCTGCACACACGGTGGATGAGGTGGTCCCACTGAGTCGCACGCAGGGAAATGTTGAATTGCCAAATGTTGTGTTATAGATACTTTTTACAATAAAAAAGCGTTTTTTAAACAATATGTTTCATTGTAGGAAATTTGGAAAATATAGAATCGTAGAACAAAGGAAAATCACCCTCGCTTGGCCCACATAGGCAGCCGGCTGGCAGTGAGGCTGGTTCTCCATTCCCATTTCTGGATTCTGACATCAGCATCGTGGTTTAAAGCATCCTTTCCCTCAGAATGAGCTGCCTGCAAACCACAGGGTCTGCGACCCTTCCCATCTGTGGGTGAGGTAAGGGCTCCACCCATCCCCAGCCTCATTTTTGAGGGCCCGCCCAGCAGGGAGCACGGGCCTGGAGCCAGTCACCTGGTCACCTGGTGTCCTGGTCAGGGCCCGCTCGGCCACCCCCTACTCGGGATCCAGGGCCGAATCTCTCACCTGTGGGTCACAGCGCCCCCCGACAGACTGCTGCCCCATGTGGGCACACTGCCTTGTTCCTTGGTCCTCGGAGACGGCTTATCCAGGCCCAGCCAAGCCCCTGCCCAGCTCCCCTCCCACCACCCCAGCCTCCCCACCTGGCCTGGCCACCCATGGCGCCCCCTCCATGGGGCAGTAGCGCTCTAGAACCTGGCTTGGTCCTGCAGGTCTGCTCCCTGGCCTGGGCACTCTGGGCTCCAGCCGCTCTCCCTGGACTTCCTCACTGAGACCTTGCAGGTCTTCTGTGGGGCCGAGGCTGCCCCCACCGTCCTCCTGGATCCCGCCCCTGCCTGCCCGGCCGCCCTCTCCCACCTCGAGCTGAGCCGCTAATTCACATCAGAGCTAAAACAGGCCTTCCAGCTTCATTTGGATGAAGACGTTAGGTGGGTTAATAAAACTCAAACGTTCACAGCCACTTGTATATAAATTTCTATTAAGTTCCTCATCCGATGTTGGTCTGTACTAGTTTAATCCCTGTATTAAATAATTAAAACTCTATTTTCAATTGCTGTGAACAATTGTTTTCCTTAATAATCTTCCTAGAGAAGCCAGTAATTTTATATCTTGTAAAAATGATTAAATGGCATCATTATCCCATATCTCTGAAATATAACTCAGCAACTCCGAGAAGGGCCATCCATATTCAATTAACGATCCTTCGCATTAAGACGCACAGTATGACTTCATGCCGCGGGTGACCCCACTGTCCTCTCATTTTATTATGACGCTGATGAAGCTAGAAACAACCCGTTTAATTAGCCCATTTCCAACAGAGAAATCAATTTTCAATACGTCTTCACCCTTAAGGAAAAAAAAGGCCCGGGTTCCTGGGGACAGGCAGGTCGAGTGGGGCTGCTGGAAGCTCCCTCCCAGGCTTCAGCCACCAGCCCCAGCCCACCCAAAGAGCTGGACCCCATGGGGGGCAGAGAGTAGGGTCCGGGCTGGGCAGTGGAGCCCCAGATCCTGGGCCAGGCCATGCTGTGCGGACTGACATGGAGCCCTTCCTCCTGGGCCTCTTCTGCCACCTGGTTCAGACTTAACCAGCTGCTGTGGATTGGACTCTGACTCCTGGTGCCTGCACGTATGTCAGAGTAGAGCTGTGCTCCACCGGGTTTTCAATGGCTGATTTTTTGGACAGAGATCACCAGGCCTTTCTTCCGTGGAGCCTGTGGGTGGATTTGAATCCCAACCTTTTGGTTAGTAGCCAAGTGTGTCTGAGACCCCTGGCCTCTCAGGGTCTTGTCCTCAGAGGCTGCCTGCTGTCCCCCCCAGCATCACTCAGAGCTGGCACAGCCTCCGGGCCCACCCCAGCCGGGCTCTGTGGGCTGCCCCATTCATGCTGCCCGATGGGAACCTTGTGACAGCTCGACTCCCACGCCCGGTTTCCCAGATCCCGGCACTGACTGTGAGGCTCGGGGGGCCCGGGGGGTTATCACAGCAGGAGCATGGCTCCCGTCAGGGTGATTCAAGGGACACAGCCCCCCTCGCCACTCCATCACGCCGGGTGGCGCGGCCAACACCATCTAATTGTTTGACATTTTTATCACGATTCATTTAGACCAAAGAGGGTGACTAGATTGATGCCCAGCTTGCCGGCTAATGGCTGGGACAGAGCTGATGGCCAAATTACAGGGGAGCTCTTAAATTCTCCCATTATGGATTTTAATTCCTGTGATGAGGCGAGACAGCCGCTAAGATAATAAGGTGGAAGCAGCAGGTCCCTGCCTGCACCTTGGGGTCGGCACTCCCCCACCCCGTGGTCCAGGCACCTGCTCTGTGCCAGCCCTGGGGGTGGGGCACGCAAGGGACCTGGGGGTGCCTGCCCTGGAACCGCCTCTGGAATGACCCTCTAGGGCACATGTCACCCCCGAAACACTGCAGCTGGAGCCCCGAGTGAGGCTGGCAGGGCCGTGATATCTCAACAGCAGCAGAAGCTTGGCCGAGGGTCATGGAGGGGGCTGGGCCACCACATCTGCTTTGAGGGTTTCTTGCTGGGGTTCCCAACCCCTGAGTGTCCTGCCCCGCTGGTGAGCTCGGAGACCCACCCCTAAGTCCTGGTGGTCTGCAGTGTGAGAAGGCAGCCTGCCCCTGCTCACCTGGACGCTCCCTAAACCAGGCCTGGGAGAGGACGAGCCCAGTGAGTCCAGCCAGCAGACCTCTCACACACAGGCCTCTGGTCAAAACGACTGGCTCCCTGGGCTGCGTGCACCCCCCGGTTTCGCTGTCCAGACCCCCTGCAGACTTTGTAGAGCACCCAGTGCCCCTCCCTGGACCAGGCATCACTGGGTGAAGTCACTGACTGGCACCACAAAGACCCAGGACCCCTCGGTCACAGATCCTCCAACTTCCGGCTGGGTGCAAGGCCATTCTGTAGGAAGACCACCCGTCCCAGCACCCCTTTTGATGGTGTGGCCAGTGGGATGTCGCAAAAGGTGAGGCCGAGGTCCGTCTCTTCCTCCTCGGCAGGGCCTGGTGAGAGGCAGCACTCCTGCTCTGTTCTTCTCACTCCAAGCCTGTTTTTCCTTCCCACCTACTTGTAATGCTCTCCTGTTTCCCCAGGTCTCCATGAATACACAAGCCTTTTCTGGAATCCCGTGTATGTTCGTCCCTGTGCAGACCCACACTGCTTGATTTTAATCGTGTCTTTGTAATATGTCTTAATACCTGGTCCTTGTCCTCTTTGTGGAAACCCTGGTGGCACATTGTTGAGAGCTACGGCTGCTCACCAAAAGGTCAGCAGTTCGAATCCACCAGGCGCTCCTTGGGAACTCTATGGGGCAGTTCCACTCTGTCCTGTGGGGGCACTATGAGTCGGAATTGGCTCGACGGCAACGGGTCTGGGGTTTTTGTTGTTGTTTTTTTTTTACCCCCTTTATGCTCTTCCTTTTCGAACTTCAGCTTTGGGGGCTGCAATTCTTCTGTGTAAAGTTTAGAATCAGTGTGTCATGTTCCCAAAGAAATGCTGCTGGACTTTAGATTGAGATTGCATTGACTGCTTAGATTAACACGAGGGCAATTTATGTCTTTAAATGTTAAGCCCTCAGATCCATGAACATGGTACAACGCTCCATTTAGTCTGTCTATTGGGTCCTTTAATACAGCTTAAAACATTTCTCTGTAAAGGTCTTGGGCATTCTTTGCTGTCTCCTAGAAGTTTATAGTTTTTGTAGCTATTACAAATAATATTCTCTATTTTGTTTTCTGGCGATGATGCTATTATAAAGAAATGCTATTGATTTTCTTATGTGGCTCCTTTACCCAGCAACTTGGTTGAGCTGCCTTATTAATTCCAACCAAACTGCTAACAGGATTTGCAAATAATGCAGGTGTACCATCCCTTTTCATCCTTAGCTCTCTTATTCGTTCTCCTACCTTACTGCAGGGAGCAAGATGCCCGGTCCTGGGTTGGACAGGGGCAGTGATTCTGACCCTCAAAATTCTTCATTACGTGTGATTTCCATGAAGGTTTTGAATAGCCTTTATTAACTTAAGGAAGTTTCCTTCTATTTCTGTTTTCCCAAGAGTCTTGAAATCATAAGTAGGTTTTAACATCATCAAATGCTTCCCTGAGTTATTCATGTGAGCTTTTTCTCCGTCAGTCCATGAATGTGGCAAATATACGGATAGAATTCTCATGGTTCACCCTAATATCCCTGAGACAAGTGTTACTTGGTCACGACAAGACACTCGTCCCAATAACATTGCTTTTAGTTTTTACAAGATGAGGATCAATCCTCCTACACAAATCATCCCACAACTTGCATCATGTCACCCTCGGGCTCACCAGAACCCTCTCTCATTCAATAGCTGCACAATGTTCCAGTTTGTTCCATTTTTTGCCTTTAACTAGATTTTAAAAAAAAGCTGCAATAACATTGGGCAATAGCAAAAGATTGGAAACAACACATATACCCATCAGTAGGGGCCATTAAATAAACTATGCCTGAAATACAGCGGATACAGGGCAGTGGTGACAAATGAGGATACTCTCGAGTACAAATATTTCTAACATACATTAAGTGTGACATTCAGGGTGGAAAAGGGCATATAACACGCTTCCTTCCGTGGAACACGTGACAGAGCAATTAAAAACCTACATTTATGTTTGCTTGTGAGGATCCCTGGTGGCACAACGGTTGAACCCTCGGCTGCTAACTGTAAGGTCAGCAGTTGGAACCCACCAGCTGCCCCGCAGGAGAAAGATGTGGCAGTCTGCTTCTGTAAAGATTACAGCCTTGGAAACTCTATAGTGCAGTTCTACTCTGGGGCTAGGGATGAGAGAGAGAGAGAGGAAAGGCTGGCTGGTCAGAAGTAAAGGGAGTTGTGTGGACTCCTTTGTTTATGGTTAGAACCCATTGACCTAGGGGACTAGGGATGACAGAGTGTGGAGGGACTGTCTGAAATGCCGGGAGGTGTGTGCGAACTCTTGAGCCTGAGGCCACGACCCCTTATGAGCTAGCTTGGATGGCTAGGGATGCGCTGACCAGACTCCAACTGAATGAAGAGAAAGATGTTTAACACTGTGAGCAGGTGTAGATTTCTGCAATTTGATAGCTTGCCCTGGACTGAACTTTGCTTATGGCTGCAGACGCTCGAAGTTCCAAATGGAACAGAAGATTCTTCAAGACCCAGGAACATGCTTGTCTCTTCAGAGTGCTGGTTTGTTACCAAAAACCAAACCAAACCTGTTGCCGTCAATTCCGACTCATAGCCATCCTATAGCACAGAGTAGAACTGCCCCACAGAGTTTCCAAGGAGCAGCTGGTGGATTCAAACTGCCGACCTTTTGGTTAGCAGCTGAGCTCTTAACCACTGGTTTGATAGAGACAGACAGTTTAGAAATTGGCTATCCAAAATAGGGGGAGAAAAAGGCATGAAGTGACTGGATTAGATGCTTTTGTGGGTGTGTTTGCACTCAAAATGAGGGGGACAAGGGAGGATCACCACTGAATAGATTCCTCTTTTCCTGATGGGTGGGGGAGACGCTGATAAGATTACATGATTCAGCTGTGAGTGTTGTTAACAGGGTTGTGATTGTAAAAACTGTAATTGTAGAAGCAGTAACTGTCAAGAGTGGACTAAGGGGGAGGCACTGCTGGACTGAGTACAGTGACCGAACCGAAAGTCCCTTAAAGGTTTTGCTGTGCTGATGCCTCATGAGGCTCAGAGCAAGGGAATAATCTTCTCTCAGTTAAATTTCATCAGAGACCAGGAAGGGTGGAGACGCTGACCAGATCAGATGGGCACCTGCAGCAGACCTGAATGGCTGGTCCCTGAGTGACCTCACCCTGAGGACTCTGCCCGACTGCAGGACTAACTGTTAATGACTGTTGTGGACTGGTAAAGTGACTGGGAGGAGGTGCTTAAGAACCATGGCTGGGAAAGCCAGAGGGTGGCCTACGGTGTGACGGATCACTTTTGTGTGGCCTCTCTCGTCTCGCCATGGTCTCGTAACTCCCACCCAAGTAGACTGCGTGGGGCTGTGCAAATAAGGTGATTGTGGTCCACCAAGGGGACTGGTTGGTTTTGCTATCTGCTAGGCTTAAAAGAGAGCCAATTCCAGAGCAGAGAGGGGATCTCACTGCCACCAAGGAAGAAGGGACAAGAGTGGAGCGCATCCTTTGGATCCAGGATCCCTGTGCTGAGAAGCTCCTGGAGCCAGGAGAAGCAGACAGAGAGCTGTAACATCATAGATGACAAGAAGTGGTGGCAGAGAAACGGCAGCAGGAGAGACTGGCAGGAGATAGCACAGTGGGCTTCCCAGCCCAGAAAGCTGAGTGCCTTCGGCAGGAGGCTTGCTGGCGGAGACGAGCGTTTCTCGGCACTTGGTGGAGCTAGGTTTGCCGACCCGTGGAGCTAGAGCTGAGTGCCTTCAGGCCAAGGCTTACTGGCAGAGTGGGGTGCCTTGGGGCACTTATCAGTGGAGCTAAAGGAGCTCCATAACACTAGCCCAAGCAGGGCAGAGGCCAAGGGCCAGAGAGGCGTGCCAGCAGGCAAGGCTGGGAAGAGGCTGTCCTGATGGAAGAGCTGTATCCTGAGTGTTCCTGAACCTGATTTGTAACTGTTACTTCTCTACTAAAACCCATAATCTTGAGTATTGTCTGTGAGTTCTGGGTGGCCATTGCAATGAATTATTGCACCCAGCAGAGAATCGGAGAATGCTGTGGTTGGGACGGTTAGTGTCAGAATTGGTAAAGATGGCAGAGAGAGGAGGCATATCAGCCTCGGGCTGTTGATCTTGATTCTCCTTCCCAGGTGAAGTTAGAGGAGATCAGCCGCTGCCTCCACGCCATTTTTGCACTGCCGTAAACATCTTAAACACACAGCCTTACCAAGTGATGGTTTTCTTGCTATCAAGACACCGCTTTTGCCAGGTCGGAAGCTGTGGGTGTTTTTTATCGTAGTAAATACCGCCAGATCACTTCCCAAAAGGCAGTGTCTGAGAGGCCCCTTCCACACCCCAATCAGTCTGATTCTATCATTTTAAAAGTAGATTTGAAGATCTGAAGGGTAAAAGTCAGTATCTTGTGTGTTATTTAAATTGATTTTCTTCACTCTGAGGTTGGGCATCTTTTCATGAATTTAGTGGCCGCTTGGACTCCCTATTCTGTACGTTCCTCATTCCTATTGTTTGCCCTTCTCCTTTACTGGGTTAGCTGGTTGTCTTTTTTTATCCATTTCTAGTTCTTTGTACAATGTGACATCCATTTTTTCCTGTCATAGGATTGCAAACATTTTCCCGCTGGCCATTTATTCTCAGAGTTGTTTCATGATGTCGGGTTTGCTCTACAGACGCATTACACGTACTCCTGGACACCGGCGTGCCCTTCTCCGTCTCCCCCGGCTGTAAGGCAGCAGGTTCTGGATTCCGCCAGCGTGGGGTCCAAGCCCGCCCCACCTCTCAGCAGCCCCGGCGCCCACCAGTAAGTGGGTCATAACAGAGCCTGCCTCTTGAGGTGCCAGGAGGAGCCCGAGGTCACTGTGTCGGCGCTGAGAGGGCACAGGCAGCTCGGGGCCTGGATGGAGGCGGCGCTCAGTGACCGTGCACCTCTGCCCTAACCCATCATGCCCTCTGCCCAAGCTCCTGCCCACGCTGAAGGAGCTGGGTGCCAACCTACAGGCGTGCAGCTTCCCCAAGCTCCTGCCCGCACTGAAGGAGCTGGGTGCCAA